TTATTAATTTATCAATGGCTCTAATGTTTTTGTGTCAAACATTATTATAGCTTAATCCTCCACCAGCATTCATTCAAGAAAGAATTCAACTTTTYAATAAACTAAAGACAGAATATGATGCCAAAATTGCAGGTAAGTAAAATCATGAATATAGAGTACAAACATTAAATGTGTGCAATACTTTACACTATTTACTACAAAAAAAGTGTTCATTGAACAATAGAAAACAATAGAATTAGCATAATTTAGCAGTATTTAGTGGTATTTATGTTGCACAGTTTTAGTGTTTGTACTCTAGACTGTGAATATGACTTTTAATCTTGCGAATAATTTTTTTTTACCCAGCCAAAGAAAACACACCAATAAAGATCACTTTACCAGACGGCAAAGTTGTTGATGGATTATCGTGGAAGACCACACCATACGATATTGCATGCTCTATCAGGTATGATATGACAGATAAAAGCTTGTGCTATGATACAAACTGGAACAGTTAATAATATTTTTTGAGCTTCACCAGACATTATTTTCTCCTTTTAATCTGCTGTTGTTGTTTTTTTTGTTGTTGTTGTTTGTCCCAGTGTTATGTTCATAAAGTTAATTAACTTCTACTCTTTCAGTCAAGGTCTTGCAGATAATGCTGTTGTTGCCAAGGTAACTTGTTTATTAATGATAAATTTATCCTTTTTGACATTGTTTTCTTTACAAAAAATGTTTGGAAATATACATTCAACAGTGTTGTAAACTGCGCTTTTCATAACAGGTCAATGATGAGGTCTATGATCTGGATAGAGTTCTTGAGGGAGATTGTACCATGAAATTCTTGAAGTTTGATGACCCTGAAGGTAGAGTAGAATATTATTAAAAAAAAAGAAAGAAACAAGAAAAAAAAAATAGAAAATAGAAAATAAGGGGAGCAGTTGTTATTGTTGTTTTTAAACAAAGTTTAGACACATTTTCTCCTGAAAAATTTACTCCTTCAAAAAAGTTGTGTTCTTCCCTCTGTCATTCTCTTTTGTAAGTCAATAAAAACCCCTGTTAAAAAACATTATTCTCTTGCTCTCTCTCTCTCCAGGAAGTGCAGTGTTCTGGCATTCTAGTGCTCATATACTGGGTGAAGCCATGGAGCGTCACTATGGTGGGTGTCTGTGCTATGGTCCGCCCATTGAAGAGGGTTATTTCTATGATATGTTTCTTGAAGGCAGGTGGGTGTCTAAGAGTTTGTCTAAGCATAAGCGTGCACAATGATTTAAATTAGATGGTTGATGTTATTGTAACCTTTTTTCAGTGTTATGAGAGATTGTCATATTTTCATATAGATGTAGATTTGATATTTTTATATTACTACATAGCTTTCTCTTATGAAGTGATCATATTTTGACCTATATACCATGTGTACATGTCTCTTTGTTTTTTATTTTCCTAGTGGGGATGGATTATGAAGTCCCGTTAACACTTGTGATTTTTGCAGCACATTAATTGCCACTTAGCTATTCGCAACTCAATTTGTACATGTAAAAAGCCCTGCAATAGCCGAGTTTAGATATTTTGGTTCAGTGACCATGCACAAAAGAATTGCAGACGAGGCTCCGGGGAAATAAAGAATAAAACGATATTATACGCTCTTTGAGTGGTCATTTTGAAGCGTGTACTTCAAAATAACTCTTTGCAATATTAAAAAAAATAAAATTATCAATGGATAATCTTGATTTATTCTTTATTCCCCGGAGCCTCGTCTGCAATTCTTTTGTGCATGGTCACTGAACCAAAATATCTAAACTCGGCTATTGTTGAGATGGTCGAAAATCGCTGTGAAGTTGCAGCCAATTTTCAAGCATGTTCAAAACTCAGGTGATGGTTGTGTGACGATTTGCATGAGAATCCGTCTGCAAAAAATGAAAATGTTTTACGGACCTTGAGGCTGTGTGGTCCTTTAGCTTATTAGGGGTGTCTGTACAGGGTGTGTACAGCCCTTTGTCTTTCTTGTGTACTATACGGTGACAATTATTTATTGTGGTTTTTATTCAACAGGCAAGTGTCATCAAATGATTTCACATCACTTGACACTTTGACCAAGTCTATCGTGAAGGAGAAGCAACCATTTGAAAGACTTGAAATGACTAAGGAGGAACTCCTGRAAATGTTCAAGGTAAACACTGGATTGTAATTGATGCAGCTGTGACAGCTGTCCACGGCTGTCAAAAATGGTGCGATATGTCACAGCCACAGACAAGGGCACCGTGGACGAAGCACTAAAACGAGGTCTCAAAGGCCAGCCTCCGTATAGTAAACTTTGAAAGTATCTTACAAGTTTAGTTATAAACAACATACCAATACATCTTTCAAACTTTTGGACACTGCATACATGTGATCCTTGTAATGATTTCTAGATGGAAGTCCTTTGAGGTCTCATTTCCATGATTCGTCACTATAGTCCCCGATAATGGCAGTTTTGAAATAACCACCATTTTGGAAAGTCATATATTTTGCTTTTGAAGTAATATTATTGAACAAAGTGAAGAATTCACACTGCTCAGTGTCTAGACGGACAATACAATAATTATTAAGTCAAAATTACTTTTATTTATTTAGTGTTTTTTTTTTCATAGTACAATGAATTCAAATGTAGAATACTGAGAGAAAAAGTAAAAACTCCAACAACTACTGTGTACAGGTATTAAACTGTGAATTATAATTAAAGCTAGATTATTTCTCATTGCATACGTAGCTATTATTATTGAATTAACTTCTTTTATTTTGTGTTGTTTTTTTTAGTTTTAGTTTTTGTTGTTGTTGTTGTTTTCTCTATCTACATTCACTTTGCTCACTATGTTTCATATCTCTATTTATTTAACTACATTTTTGTGGAAATATTTGTTAATACTATGTTTGTTGTTGCCCAGGTGTGGTCCACTCATTGACTTGTGCAGGGGTCCTCACGTCAGACACACTGGCAAAATTAAGTCAATGGCAGTCACTAAGGTTAGTGTAGCAACTGCAATCTGGGACAAAACCTATTGAGACGCTGGCATTTTTCGCCTCCGAAATACTCCCATTTCTCATCTTTCTAAAAAGTCACTATTTCTGATCCTCCCCTCCCCCCACAGTTCAATGTTGCGTGTGAGACGGGATGCTAGAAGGGTGTGCATGAATGCTTAGTCCTTTCAAGATTGGATTTGAGGGGGAAAGGGGGATATTTTTACAGAAATACGCAGATAGATCATCGAAATTCAATCTAATTTCAAGAAATGTCTCAACCGTTTGTCCGGGATTGTGGCTAACATATACTTCTCATGAGTATACTGTGTTATGCAAGAATTGTTGCAATTAGCAAAGCAAGTAGCCTGTTATTTGTAACATAGTATAAATTGCAGATATCACTTGCAGAACATATGATACAACATGAGAAGAAGTTCACATATTCTCGGTTTGCACTGATCACGTGATATTCTAAAAATGCTATTTAGAGGCACAATTAGCGGAATATTATTATTGTCCTCAAGAGAACATCTAAATTAAAGGATCACTACGAAATTTCGAGCGAAAATAATGCTTTTTAACAGAAATACGAGCGATCGAAAATTGGTAAGAATGTATGGGATTATCACGGCTCAATGCGTTTTAGACTGGTCAAGAAATACCTACAAAAATCTTTGTTTTAAGATCGAAATGAATATTTTATATCCAAGGCCAAGAACACCATATAATTCCCAGCATTTATGCAAAGTTTGAAGTCAAACTGAAATTTTGTAGCAAAAATATAAGCGTTTGAATACGGTCTTACTTTACAAGGGAATGTATGGAAAGCCATGACTGTGTACTAATCCAGTACACGAACATGGCGGACAGTAACTCYGAGCRTCGAATTGAGGTCAAAACTAATGATTTTGCTTTAGTTTTACAACAATAACATTTTAAACATTTAATTAAATGCTGAGACTATACTTGTTTTAAACTTAATAGGCTTTCTGAGGTTTATTTGTCGCGTTTCAAGTCGCGTGACAGTATTGCGTGACATATTTTTGAACGTTAATAACTCAACGAATAAACAGCAAAAAAAGTTTAAACTTTCGGAGAGAACTTCTATCATGCTTTTCAAGGTATTTTAGTGCTGCAATGTTGTGTGTCTGTGATTTAAGATTTTTTTTCGACTGATGACGTCATGTGCAAACTGAGAATATTGAGAGTTTATTTGTGGCGTGATGCCAGCAATAATTTCATTTCAGTTTGACAAATCCATTTTAATTGATTTGACTTTCATTCTTCCAAGAAAATTATATAAACAGGGAAAAAAGTCATTTTACCTTTAATTTAGTTACTTATTTTAGTTGTTGTCTAATTTGATCTGAAACTCAAGTAGTTAGCCTTCCACACAATGTTGACTACAATCTTGGATGTACATTGTAACCCTTGGGGCTTTTCGAGCTATAGAGTTAACTAAGATAGTATTGCTTACTTGCTCCTCACCCTTGAACCATTCCCCTCCCCCTGATGCAGAGTTGTCAACAGACTCACAGCAAACCATCAACCATACAGTCAAGAGATTTATGGATGAACAAAGGCTGTTATGAATAACACATTGATGATCAACCCAGGCTCATGCAAAATTCCCAAGACGTCTTGTCCAAGATTGTATTCTAATAATATCAATAAAAAACTTTTTTTAGAAACTGCCTGCTTATCTGTATTTCAAATGTTTTATGTTTATATTCTTAGAATTCAGCAACCTACTGGGAAGGTAACTGTGAAGCCGAATCCCTTCAAAGAATTTATGGTATATCATTCCCTAATGACAAGCAGGTRAGAAAACTGGTCTTACAGCCAGTATCTTGAATGACAGATTAGAGTGTCCACATGATGTAGTAAACTTATATTTTGTGGATGTTTTGCAGATGAAGGAGTGGAAGAAGTTCCAAGAAGAAGCAGCAAAGAGAGATCACAGGAAATTAGGAAGAGTAAGGGAACAAGATTTTTCTCTTCATTCATTCATTTATTTAGTTCACATATTTCCATTTCATTGGTCTCTTTTTTCATTCATTCATTCATTTTTACATTTTTCCCATATTGTTTTTCCCATATTATTTTAATTCCTCTACTATCTATTTTCCCATTGTTTTATTTTACTTTTCTTCTCATTCCTGGCATTCATTTTTTTATATTTTTTCCATTCACATTTCATTTATTACTTATCCAATTATCCATATACTCTTCATTTTTTACACATTTTTTTTTCTTCCATTATCTCAGTATTTTTCCCATTGTTTCATTCACTTATTTACCCATTCYTTTCTTATTTTCATTACCAGGATCAGGAGCTGTTCTTTTTCCACGACCTTAGCCCTGGTAGCTGCTTCTTCCTACCAAAAGGAGCTCATATCTACAACACTCTTATCAATTTTATGAAGGTATGGTTGGATCAATAGTCTTCTTCACGGTTCCCTGCGCCATCTTGAAGGGTGGACGTGCCTTTGCATCGAAGCGAGACGACCGTTGAGCGTGCAATGATAGAAACCTTCTTTCACACCTACAGACAATTATTCACAGGTATCTATCATTGCACGCTCAACGGTAGTCTCGCTTCGATGTAAAGGCACGGCTACCTTTCAAGATGGCGCACCTAACCGTGAAGGAGACTATTGTAATTTTTGTTGATCATTCATCTTCTTCACAGGCATCTCTATCCTGCAGGATTCTTGTGTTATTGGCAAAAAGCTACTGGAGGTGAATAGAACTAGGAGGAAAAACTAATGTGTGTAATTATTGTTTGTAGGAGGAATACAGAAAACGTGGTTTCCAAGAAGTTGTCAGTCCAAATATCTACAGCACCAAACTATGGGAAACGTCTGGGCACTGGCAGCACTACAGTGTAAGGCTTATTGATCAATAGATAAGAAGTATGAGCATAAGATTCTTAACTTTGTAATGTTCAGTGATATGTTGTGGTTGTCCTAGATGTTGTTGTCGTTGTCATCATTGTRGTTGCAGTCGTTGTCATTGTAGCTGCTGTCGTTGTTGTTGTTGTTGTTGTATGTGGTGGTGGTGGTGGTGGTGGTGTTGTAAAAAAAGTGCAAATCCCTAAAGGTACTAGACTGCTAAGTCCAGTTTCCAGTGACCATGGAAATGTTGACTTTGCTAATCGATATTCTGTTCTTTCAGGAAAACATGTTTTCTTTTGAAGTCGAAAAAGAACGCTATGCTCTCAAGCCTATGAACTGCCCTGGACATTGGTAAGAACAACATGCAGTTAAATCTRATAAAAAGAAGCAAATTGCATCTTTGCTGCACAAGCAATCAAATAACAATGGCAAAGAGGCATACGTAGATTGCACAAGCAATCAAAAACCATAGCGTAATCAAATAGTGGTACAATAGCAGCACAGATTGCAAAAGCAGTCAAATAACAAAAGCAAAATAGCATGCATAGATTGCACAAGCAATCAAAGAACGATAGCATAACCTGAGCCACTTACAAGGCTGGTCACTTGAATGTCTTCACAATGTCTTCACACTTGACCAAACTGATCATGTAGTATACTTATTGTTTTTC